AATTTCCGTGACAGAGTTCAAGATAAATCCTTTAATCTTACTACTGGAGCTGCTAGTTTGCTAGTTTCAAATGATTAATAAACAGCAAGCACAAACTATGCAAAAGTGGCATTCCTTCCGGTGCACTCAGTGTCCGAATTCACTACTCGTTTTCATTCACTCCTTCTAGTGCACTGAATTAGTGACCTAATGTAGGGAATAGTGAATGAGGGTATAGGGGGCGATTTCGGACACAGCCGTCCTTTCTTTCAAAGTACTGCCCACGCTCCAGTCCAGTAGGTGGCGGTAAATGCACCTTTAAGTTTGCCAACCGCCAATAAAATTAAAAGAAGAAGAATTCATATAGTTTCAGTAGAGAATAGGGTATATGGTTTCAGAAAGGCGGGGCATCGAGGAGAAACAATAATGTACAGTATGTGGAAAATAATGTGTTTTTTTAACCTTAAACCGCATAAACACATTCCATTACACCAAATACACAAAATAATGTTCATTTTAGCAACATCATACGACCAATGCACACCTAGACTGAAATCACTTCACACTCCAGCACAGGAGGTGGCGATATGCACCTAAAAGCTGGTATGCAACTCGCCAATAAACCCACAGAAAAAGAAGAAGAAGATTTCGCCAAAGAAACAGAAATGAAGCGGTTTTAAGGATGTACTGTTTGGCTTCTTTAATATACAAAAAGATTAAATTAATGAATATTTTATTATTAACCTATTATTACTTCTTGCAAAATTTAATATTCACCGCAGTAAATTCACTAATCAAAATCCTTTATATATTGTTTATAAAAAAGAGGTTCAACAGTATATCCAAACTATTTCATCTTACAAGAATCTCAAGGCTTTTAAAACGGTTAATTTATTTAATCGTTTTAATTTATTTGGTTAAATCTTTCGTTTTGTATTATTTATTTATTGTTACATACATCTATAAATGGTGCTTTGCATGTAATGTCACCTCTTTGTATGTAATGTTGATATTCTCTGTATTTTTATATTTGGTACCTTGGCATTAATTAATACAACAAAAAAAAGACGAAGGAAAAAGAAAAAAAAAAACAAGTGAAGCGGAAGTTATTTTCAGAGCTAATGGCGCGAATGACTGGAATACGGCTTCACACACATAGGTTTTCTAAATAAAATACAGACAGATTAGGAAATGAATTATCCTGCTGTCTTATCCAAGAGATGTTTCTATGTGTGTCAGAAGTGAAAAAAAAAACTAAGTAGAAATGAGATCAAAGTCTTTTAGAAATTAGTTTTAATCCTCGTAATCACCGCGCAGCAGCGCAAGACTTTGCTTCTGTCTCGCGGTAAGTCTTCATTTGTTATCATGAGTGTTTGTTTAGGTTGTTTTATGTTAATTAAAACACACACACACACACACACACACACAATAAATGACTTGCTTTTAGAGCTGTGCAACAGTTTGACACTCTTTGATGTCTTGTTGGCCTTGTTTATAAGATTATCAAAACAACCTGCAATGAAAAGTAGATTGTTCATTATTAGTGTCTCGGTCCTAAATAGCATCCAGTTTTTGTTTGATTTTTGTATTAATTTGCTGTTTACTTTGCACTACCGAATAGTAGTATATTACAGAATAACACCGTGAGACAACAGGATACTAATTATCATTAGCAGATGTTTACATGTTTCTTAATGACAGTATTAAATCCTTGCACGTTTGTTTCCACATGATGTAGATTATATGTCACCATGTCAAAAGGCAACAAGGATGCATACGTTGTGAAATTTGTTGAACGCAATGGACAGAAGAGTGATATGGCTCTCCAGGCCCATAAGGTGATCATAATGTGTTGTTCTGTGGTATATCTGTCATTAACTGCTCCTTATATCTTATAATATCACTGACCATAATATCACTACTTTTGCTCATATAATCATATGCTCATCTTCAGGCAATAGTGGAACTGCAGTCAGAGAAATATGTGCAGACGCTGGATGAGGAAGCCGCACTAGAGCTGGACCACAATGACAAGTCCCTGTTTGTTTTCAGTGACTTCACCAGCAATGCCTTTAAGCACTGCAGGAGGGTGCGTTTGTGTTAAGATTAATTTACAACACTGCATATCATCTGCTTTTAGCAGTGTTAAGCAGTTGGGGACTTTTATTCAATTCCATCCAAATAAAATATAACTCCATGTTCTTTATATTTACATAAAATGTGTAGGTTTTTTTTATTATCCCAGTTAGTGATGAACTTTAGAAAAAAAATTTTTTTGACTAAAATGAATTCATTACAGAAACACCAAAATTAAAAGTTGTTACTTAGCAGGAAACAGAGAAAGTCCCTCTAATTAAATTCAGGTAATTTAATTTAAAGGAGTTGTGTTCTCAGGTGATAAACCAGTCGTAGTTCTTCAGCAAACAAGCTGCCTTTATTTTAGCTGAACAGATTTTATATATTGCTACTCTAGAGTTATTTTTGGTCAAGGTGAAGTATATCCACCATGCTGACATGTTTAATCATGCTGACAGCTTATCATGTACACAAAATAAATGCTTAAAATGTGTCATCAGTGAAACACTAATTAAACATTACTGATTTGGTAAATAGTTTTGGCCTTCCAAACCCCGCCCCCCCCCCCCCCACACACACACAAATATTCTTAGTTGCCGAAATTTTGTTACATCACTAAACTCTGCACTATTTACAAAAAATCTGAGAGGGATGTATAACGAAGGGGTGTGCGATAATGACAAAAAATTATATCTCGATATTTTCTGGAATTTTGTTGATAACGATATAGGGCTGTCGCGATTCGTTGATTTTATTCGACTATTCGATTTTTTACAAATCCTCGACTTAATTTTGCTCGCGTCGACTAACCGGCAAAATACCGGAATTGGCGCATTTCACGAACGAGAATCCATAAAACATTATTAGACTGTTTCCCAAGGCTGCACGATATATTAAACCCATTTAAAAAATCATAATTAAGCATAATTGTGAATTCACAAACGCTACGATTTAATTAAATAATTGTATGCGATGCAGTTCTAATACAGTATATGCGCTTTAATTATTTACATGCGTGTAGGTTAAGTACATGCGACACACAGCGGCTCCGTTCACAGTAGTTCCACAGGAACTGTTATCATTTACATGTGTGGAGCGTCTCAAATTCCATCTTTGCATGTTGTTGTGAGTTTGGGTTTATTATAACGTTCATCTGGGAATGCAACAAGCGCCATTTCATCAGATTTATTAAGGTAAATCATTTATAAATCAATGCAAACACAGGAGAATGCATCGCGATTTCAAAATAAAAGCTCAAACCCTCACTCTTGAGTTTACACGTTTTGATGTCCACATATTCATTTAATTACAGTGGCTATAGCATTTCTGTCCTAAAGAAATGGCCAAATATTAAAGATTAAGTGTACATTTGAATTAAACGGTGCTTGGTCAATATTAAACAAGGATTCTTAGATTGCACAGCAATGTGTAAAAATAATCATCAGGCCGTTGGTGCCCTCTGCAGGCCTTGTAATGCGTAATGTACATTAGCTCTATTGTTTATAATACATTATGTTTATAATACATTATGTATTTTAACAGTTTTGCTCAATAAAACAATATGATTTCTTGCTTTTGATACTTTATTTGATTATTAATTTTATTTATTAATTATTATTGCCTCATTGCTTTTATATATGTATTTTAAGTAATTTTAAAGGCTATTGTTCACTTACATCTATTTTTATTACCACAAAAAAATTTATTAATAATTATAGGGCCCTATGAAATCCATTTTCATTTTTTTATACTCTGTTTTAATGGTTAAATTAAATTTTATTAATCAAAAAGCCTGTCTAATTAATTGAGTTTTAGAGTTTTATCTTTACCAAATTCTGTTTTCCATTATTTTATTTATTAAAAGAAAATTATTCCATTTTAATGGTTCCATTAAATTTTAATAATCAAAAGCATCTCCAATTAATTGATTTTTTTTTATTTTTAAAAAGACGTTTTTTTTTCAGAAATACTGTACATTTACATTTTTCTCCTACATAAATTCTGGTAAATAACATTTCTGGTAAATACTCCTGTTAAAAAGTGTTTTTTGATTATAATTTTATTATTAGTAGAATAGAACACATGGATATGTTGTCATTCTTACACTGTAATACTGAACTTTGATTTCAGTGATTTGGACTATGAGATGGACACTTGCTTCTTACACTCTGTTGCACTTTACTTTTGCTTTAAAAAAGGATTTCATAGAAATTTGGATTTCATTTGGTTAAGATTTTTTTGTGGGAAATTAATCGTTAAGATTAACCGATTAATTGATAAATTAGTCGATAGATTAATTGAAATAAAAATAGTCGTTAGTGGCAGCCCTATAACGATAATTAGACAATATTTTGCTGAGCGTGTTATTGTGCTGGTATTTTGGCATGTTATTGTAAGCGTGTTAATGTGCTAATATTCTGTGAGGTTGTTAGTTTGTAAGAGTAACAGAAATGAACTTTTCTAATAAGTTTACATTGATTTTTACCTTTTATGTGCATTTTTACCTTTATAAGACAATTTTCTTTCTAACCTAATTAAATGTATGCATCATCTTTTGTCAAATTCTTACATTTAATCAATCAATTCAAATAGTAAGACATAGGGCTACCAATCAAATGAAATCAGTATCGACAAAATTTGTGTTTGCAATGCAGAGGTGGCACAGAATCTGCATCTGAAGGGGCATTTAGATGCATTCACACAGACTGTTGAATGCAGTTAACCTGCAGTTACAAATTCATAAATAATGTTTTGATGTTTTAAAAACAAAACGTTCAATAGTGGTATTTGAAATGATTCTGGGAAAATATATTTTAAATATAAACCTAATATCACCAGTAGGTGGTGGCAAATCACTGCATGAATGAGTCATTCATTCAACCGATTCGTTCAAACGGCTGATTGATTCAGTAACGAAACACCGCCTTTTTTTCAATTTCAATATTAAAATCAATATCATTTGCAATCGTACTGATATTTGGAGAAAAAAAACTGTACTCTTTGTGTGATATTAACTATATCAGCTTATATAAAAATAAAAGATATGAAAGTCATACATGGGCATACAGTATTTGCCCCCTTATCTTGAATTTTGGGGGAATTCTAAATGTATTTTAATAGACTAAATCACGCAGTGAAAGCGTGAGCTCTAAATGCACTCGGCAGTAGTCTGACCTACATCTCGTAGTGTATGTGTGCAGTCTCTGCATGTGTTTTTGTTTGGTTTTTGCGAAATACTCGATAATGTCAAATCGCATATCGTTTATACAACAATTACGATATTATCGCAGATGATATATATCGCACACCCCTAGTATAACGTCATTTTTATTTTATTTTTTTATGAACTCTTGTGTTTTGACTGTTTACATTTACATTTTAATTCAATTAACAGCATTTATTTAAAATAGAAATCCTTTGTAACATGTTGTTACTGTAAATAATCTTACAATGTTAATAATCTTACAAAACTGTATGTTTGTCGTATTTGCAGCTGGGATGCAGGATCATGAGTCCTCTGGTAGTGCTGTTCTGTCTGCAGAAGCAGAGATGTGTGCCCAAAGCAGAGCAGCCTGTGTACAACATGGCCATGGCTGATGTCACCGTCTCCTGCACCAACCTTGACAAAGAGGCACGGGTCAGGAGAAAACATTTATGATGAAGTCTAATATATAATTGTTTATTTTCTCCACGTTTGCTTACATTATGTATAAAGTGCAATTGAAATGAAACAAGTCAAAACATTACATCTGTATGTGCAGTTCTGCACGACAAATAAGCAGCTGTTTTGTCATTCTTGTAGAGCGAAGTGATGGATCTTGTCCAGCTGATGGGTGGACGAGTCTACTGTGATCTCAATGTTTCTGTTACTCACCTGGTGGCAGGTGAAGTGGGGAGTAAGAAATACCTGGTGGCCGCAAGCCTTGGGAAGCCCATCCTCTTGCCCAGCTGGGTGAAAGCATGCTGGGAAAAGTCTCAGGATAGGTAACATCTACATTAGTGTTTCTCAATGGGGCGGCATTCAGAATAGCATCGGGGGGTGCAGGAAGCAATATTTTTGAAAGGGGGGTGCTGAGATGTTCTTGGGGGGTGTTTGGTTAAGACGAGTTTACACCAAAGATGTATGAGCCAAAACTTGCAAAAGAAAATGGTTTGCCATGTCCTAACGCCGTCTACACTGAATGCATTAAAGCGAACATTCCAAATCTGTCCAGGTAGTGTGGTAGAGCAAGTGCATGGATTGAGTCAGAAATACAATGCGGCATCCGTTTACTTTGAGTGTGTATTCAGTGACAGAATCAATCACTGATTAGGCCTTTAATTAGGGTTGCAAAAAGGTGGAAAATTTCCAGTAAATTTCGGAAAAATGTTGGAAATTTTGGAAACTTTCTAGGATTTTTTGGAATATTCCAGGGATGTTTGGAAAGGTTCCGGAAATTTTCCACCCCTTTGCAACCCTAATTATAATAGGTTCTATGTGCTCTGAAGCAATGCGTCGCACTGTTCGCATCCGGTCGGTGTAGTAGTGTAGTGTTACCTGCCAGCTTATACCAGTGCTACTAGACTGTTGTATAATTTCCATAGCAACGACTGTTTACTTCGGTGTTCGCTCAATCCAACTTTTCTGTAGCGCAGCTGCCGAACTTCCCGTCAAAACAACAGCTATCATTCAGACACGAAAAAGCACTATATGCTTTTTTTCTTGTTCTTGTTGATTGGCTGCGGTTGGTTTGAATGCCAAATTTCTAAAGAGTTTATTTAATACTTGTGTGT